ACAGCAAGTTTTTCTTTCAACTTATTTATATTGTGTTTAATCTGCTCTGAAGTAAAAGGCTTCTCTTTATTCTACAAGTCAAAAGATTATTATTAAATATATTCATATCATCTACCTTTCTTCAAACATACCATTTTTATAACTCCAACGTCCTGCAAATTACTAATACAATCAAAAGTAATATTAAACTAATGCAAATATACAAATAAGTTAGATAACCGTTAATGCATCAAATGAAAATATAAATAACTGCACAGTCGTCAAAAATAACACAAAGAAATCACCCAATACAGCCTAGTTACACAAATAAAACTTTGTGTAGCATAATATTAACATATTAAAATAAGCATGGACTTTAACATAAATAACCCTTCACACCATCGAGGAAAATCCTGTTTGTAGGCTAATAGGGTTTTATACTGATATACTTATCTCCTTAGAAGTGCTACTATCTGCGTACTTATTATTCGATATAATATGATCATAATATTTTGCTTATAAAATAGCGTACCTGTGGTATAATTTGAATAAGTTTTTCAGAGCGTTCAAAATCTATACCATGCGAGTTTTTTATCAAATTAACCGCTTTTTTTACAACGTCTCTTAGTTCGTCTTTACTAATCCAAGGATTTTCTTCTAATTCTTAGTAAATAACAGAGTCTGCCATTAAATGTTCAGTCTTTACGCTGGTCAAATATTCTACAGTTTTTACGTATAAATATTCTGAAGACATAATGATGAAAGTAGTCAAAATATAATGTTAGAAGCTTGCTAAGCAAAGTAAAAAAATAATGTAAAGGCGTAATAATTTCACTATACTACCCTTTAAATGACTCCATTTACATTCTCTTTGGGCTTGTATTCATGTTAAGGGGAAGAGACAGGAGAATATGTAACGAATTCTTACGCTGAAAGTTTGTGTTTGAGAATAAGAACATGCGGAATGTGCATTAAAAATCTCAACAGTATATACTTTAATGAGGATCGAAAACATGTTAATTTATGTTGTACACGCTTACATACATTGGCCTTAAGACGCTGGGGATATGTATATACATACTTTTTTTTTCTTTATTTCAATTGTCCGACCGCTCAGTAATAAAGGCCTACTAATATTATATAAATATATTTCAGTCGAAATCTAGTAGGAATAGCCTGTAGTAACGTAACACTCTGGAAGAAATAAATTCATAAATAAATGGTATTCCAATAGATAGGGAAAAAATTTGAAATATTTTGAGGATCGATTTCTTATGTGTGAAAATCAATTTGTCACACAAGCAGTCCACACAGAGTTACAGATGATTTGCGATGTATCACCTATTACATCATATATACTTTAATGAGGATCAGAAATACATTTTATTTATGTCGCACACTATTCTCTTACATATATTGGCCTTGAGGTGCTTCGCATGGTTGAACAGTATATTATTTTATTAAGACAATATTCAAGATCTGAGTCAAGGTCTAATATGGAAAATTCAGCGTACAAACTCACAATTATTATCTAAGTCTGTGAAATTCACAGTAATATCTTTTTCCCTGTAAATATGATATATGTATTTTAACGGTGAATCATTGCAATAGAAAGGGAGGAAACTCAAAAAAAAATAAAAAATAAGTTAATAATAAATCTGAACAAATTATAGTATTTGAAACATTTTTGGCTTATAAACTAAAATTTTAATTTTTTTGGAGTTTCCTCCCTTTCTATTGCAAAGGCCCTATATATAGGTTTTTCCATTTCTGATGATTTACTCTTATATGTCTCGTATTCTGAAATTCTGATGAAAAATGTATAATTATATTTTTTTTATGAATACTACTATAATATTCAGGATTCTGTGAACATTTTAACATGTCAAGCCAATATGTATCTCTTATAACCATATAGCCTTGCTGATATAATAATTTCCTAATAAATATGTGTGTCACAAAAGCTAATCGTCTCCATAATTGGACTCACTTCTCATATACCCAAGTAGTAGTAAAATAAATGTTATGCTAATTTTCTACATAAAATTGGTCAATCACATAATTAGATTCTATTAATTTTTCATTAATAAAATGATATGTTTTATCACGAAGAACTATACCTAAAAACTTTATATCGTCAGGAGTACCATCATTTCTTACCATCTCCCAAACTCGTTTTGTTAAAGATTCAGGTCTTTTCTTATAATTCCTATAAGCTTGCTAGATAACTATCACATAGAAATTCTCAAACTGATAGTTATATTGTCTTGCAATCAAGAATCCCTAAGATCACTTTATTGATCTTCCTGAACTTCTCAAAAAATACTTTATTAAAATAGATTAGAAGATCTAACCCAGAATAGGCAGATCATATATAGCGTCTACATGTGATACATGAAATGATTACAGTTTCAGCCATAATTTCATTACATGTAGATTATGTAGTCGCAAAAAAAAATAATTTATGAATATAGTTAAGATAAATAATGTTATTATTCAGTCGAAAGTAATAATCAGAATCAGTTAATTAAACTACTGTGATTTCTGTTCCATCCCCCAATCTCAATACAGTGCCTTTTGGTTATTTTGCATATAGAGACGAGATAAATATTTTATTAGAGATAGGTAAAATCATTTCTTGGTTATCAGAGGTAATAGGAGCACTTGCCATAGTATTTTTTACTATAGTTGCAGATTTGACCTTAAAGCAAAAGTAATTCCAATAATTTTTCATTAAATCTTCAGACTCAACTTTATAGGCCCATCGCCTTCAGCTACTATAATATTCCTTTCTAGACTCTACTTCAATAATCTTCACCAATTTCTAGCATTTTAAGCAAATAGCCATTTGACTTTTATAAATACTAGGTCTACGATATTGAAAGTGATTTTCATATAACTCACCATTAATATAATATGTTTTGGATTCTACTTACCCAAATGAACTGAAAAGGCAGTACACATGATATAAACTATATTTTTGCTTAGAAAGTAGTTCTTGTAAAGGAGCTCTTATATGAACAGCCCATTGCTGAGGTGTTTCATGAGATATAATAATGGATAAATGATCGTATTGTTTTTCTATTTCAACTACTTTTTCATACTGATAGTTATCAGTTTGAGGTCAATAGTTAAAAACATGTTTCATATCATATTCAGGATGAAGATTGATAGGTTTGGGTATGGTTTTATTATAAATCTTATCTAATATGATCTTAACCATTGCATCAGGCATAATTAATAAATTAGTAATTTAATAAATTGAAGCAAATTATAACAATTTATTAACTAATAGTGTTTTTATCGATTTTAGCTGATTTATCAATATTATACTCTAATAAATATCAAATTCATTTTTATTCAGATTTTTTTTTGATTCATTTCGTGGATCACTCAGTACCTTAAACATTTTTATTTGCAATACATTGAGCTAAAATAAATTACATGATACCCTGTGTCATATGATAATCATAAAGACTCTTCACATTTTCAACTAATAGAAGCAGATTTACCGGCTAATTATATGATAATTTCAATGACGTACTTACTGCGTATAAAAGAATTTTTTCGATATCAACTATGCAGTGCATGATTATCTCTCACATGACCGAACTATACTACGATTGCGAACTTGAGTTTATTACTTGAACTATTACAGGTAAGACAATATTCTGTTCTATTTTTATACCATTTGCTATGTAATCCATAATTCCCATATTTTCTATCGCAAATAGGGCATGATAAGTCCCACGGCTGAGTAGATGTAAAATTATAATTATCAATCCTTCTAAAGATATTTCAGAATTTCAGATATGTGAAATGTTCTAACACAGATCTGATAATTAATTCTAGATCAGGTTTGGCTTCGAAAGTGATAGGATTGAAATCAGAGGCTTGAGGTTTTTCTGATATACTTATCACAGTTACTAATAATTGCCATGACTCATGTCCAGTTTCTCTTTTATATTTTTTATATAAATTGGAACAAATCTTATCTGTCAAAATACTTAGCAAACCAGTTAATTTGGTATGCCAATTCAGATATTCGGAAGTTAATATTTTATCAGACTTGGCCATGTTGCCTTTTTCTATAATTGCAAATTAATCTAATTAGGTAATAGTTGACAGGTATAAAAAAATAATAATAAAACAAATGTAGTCACAAAGTGACTTGACTATGCAACTATCTCAATTTCGCGCTGTTCACATTTAATAAAATAGGATCCAGCTTTATATCTACCTTCTATACTTTCTTCATTATTATGATCTAACTTGCATAATGGGTATGATGTCTCATCAGTAATACCATAATAATCAAAATTTTCACTACTAAATTCTCTATATAAATTTGGATATTGATCCAATGTTTTGCTATAAAAATAGGATCGATTATAAGTTGGCTTAGATTGAGGTGCTTTCGGAGAAATATATGTATTAGTCAGATTAATTTTTAAAGTCACATGACTCTAATTGTAAAGAATCTTCATGGTTTCATTGTGTGAATTTGTCACTGAATTCACATGATCTATAATATTTTATATTTGTGAGTAACTGAGACTCAAAATAGCATCTGCACTATAAGAGACCTGTTTAATTTTCTCTATTTCTAATGTACTGAATAATTTATATAATTTTCTAGCTCTAAGGATTTTTTGTGCAAATTCACATCTGTTATATCAAGTAAAAGCTGTTTGATTTCTTGATATACCATAGATGTTGCAGTTTTTTCTTAACTCTATCAGTAACAAAGTTATCAATCATTTTGTCATATTTCTCTATAAAATAGCACCAGTATAAAATTGCTTCTTGGCCAACCTTAATGACTTTCTTAAACATGCAAGCTATATTTTGCATAGTATCTGATGAGCTTGAGTCCTGTTTTAAAATTTTATCTGATGAAAGAGTGTGTGCAGGTGACGATAACTGTTGCTTTAACTCCTGTTCCACAATTATATTTTTATCCAATTTGGCAATTACTTCATCATGCTGATCGGGTTTAAGTTCCTCCATGTCACATGACTTCAATCATGAAGAATCTTCACGTTTTCAAGATTACATGCTAATTTAGATGCATTAACTTGCGGTTGCTTTGATAAGACGCAAGATGCTGATCTTATGTTTTCAGAACTAGCCTCATAAGATTGTGATAAGTCTTTCTTGTCTTGCTTGTCTTGCTCTGAAGTTAACATGTCTGTGACCTCAGGAATTTTAATCACATCCTGAGAAATTATGAGTGCTTCTTGATCTCTCTGCTTCTTTTTCCGCCTCCTCTCTCAATCTTATTGCTAATGCTTTTCTTATATGCCTCATCCAGGAAATCGACCATTTTCTCATCGTTACCATCAAGATCACTAGGTGCTCGTCCTACTTCATTATTGAGTTTGTCTATTACAGAATCAGCATATCGGACATTTGTATAATTGGCTGTTACACAAAATTGTGTAACATCACTTTTTATACAGTTTAAAGTAATACGATCGGTTGCCGAAATCCTGATAATCATTTT